GCCTGGGAGATTCACTTACAGTCATGTTAAGCTCCATAGGTCAAATGTACTGATTTACAGTGATCTCCTATGCAGCATCTGCATACAAGACAGAATGTTATTACCAGGAATCAAAGGGTAAAGTTTGAATGTCTATTATGATATTTTTTCACAGCTTTCTGGGCTATTTTATTTTTATAAAGAGTACTTATTTTTCAGAGTTATTATGGAATCATTGACACAAGTACCACAATAAAATGTCTCCACTTCTGCTTCTAATTAGAAGCTTCTTTAGAACTAAAATTCAAGTATCTTTTTTTTATTATTTTATTTTAAGCTGTTTTGATGCATTATCAGACATTTCTTTAAAAAACATAGTGAAATGGAAAGAGATACTTGAAATTATGCTCAGTGCAAAAATTCAGTGACATGACTTATTCAGTTGTCAAATACTCATGAATTCAAATGTTGTCTCCCTTCCTTTTTCTAGATGTCTTCTCTTCCATGTTGCATTGCTTGTAATTCTCTGAATTTGAATATGTGTTTTTCAAATGGAAAATATGTCCAAAAATAAAAAAGGACAAATGGAATTATAGAGGAGAGCATGAGTTGGGGTTTGTGTGCTAGCAATCTCGGAGGAAAACAAGAAAAATAGGTTGTAGGAATGCAGTGGGTGTGATACAGAGGCTAATCTCTGTTCACACATTAATAAAGCCTGACCTTCAAGGCTTCTCCCACCTACTTGAATGTGCCCCACTGCCAGTAAAATTGGACCCTGCTCTTTCTGAACATATGCCATCACCTCCAGACAGACTTTAGTGTCCTTTTTATGGATAGCCTTTTCCATTCCACCTCTGTGTCTGCAGGGTCAGACCACTGGGCAGTGTCTGGACTTTGAACAAAGTTCAATTTTTTTTTTGTCTGTTTGCTTTGATAAGCTTTCACTTAGAGGTTTGGAGCACAAAACATCAGTAGTTGATGCCCCAGGTCAGCACAGTCAGTGAAGTTTTATGCTGGAGCTGTTTCACGTCACAATTTTCTGTCTTCATAGTTGCATCAAGGTGATGTAACATCCCCTACAGTCCTGAGTGAATCAAAACAGACTCCCAGTATCTACTTATTGGCGTGATTTATTGAATTTTGCAATGTTTACTCTGTTGGTGCAATATATGAATTTCCTGTAGTTGCCCATTATTAGGAGCACTCTGGTATGATAGCCTTGATATTCTTAGGGATAGGAAGAAAAGGCTGCAGGAACCATTAGCCCTGGCTAATCTGATCAAGCATGAAATCTGAAAGATTAAAATGTTGCTTACAGTCTAGTGACCTCCACCATCACCCACCAGCCCCCCTGCCCGAGGGCTTTATCTGGTTAGTTTAGTGAGGAAGTCAGACCATAGATATGTAGTCAGTTCCAGCAAGCCTTATTAGCTAATTTATTAATTGGTATGGTTGATTAGTTTACGTGCAGTGGCATGTAAGCTATCATTGGGACTAGCTGGAGTCCAGCAACATTCCTGCAGCATTGAGCTTGAACAAAGAAGGTTTTCCTGGATTTGACATCCTGAGCAGGATGCTGTCACCACACGTCTGCTTAGGCACATTGTCAGATGGGCATAAAGGTTTGTGTGTGAAATATGCTGAGCTGCAATCTCCAGCATGAGGAGTTATACAAGGCTTATTCCAGTGCAGTGTCAACAGGGCAGTTTTGGACCTTGGGGGATCACAGATGTATCTGCAACATATTCCTCAAGCACACCTGTGCTAGCTGTATTATCCAGGTTTTCCTATTTTCCCAGATATTCTAGCTTTTTGTTACCCTTACGGACTCTTGCCTGACATCACAGAACACACTGGGAGTATGTGCTTGGTCAGCGCTAGAGTTTTGATCATTGTAATAACAAACCCAAAATGATTATTCCCTAGACCAAGCACGTCTTGCAGGATGCACTAGTTGCCAGTGAGTTCAATATTTAGGTTGCTGAGAGAAGAGGGACTGGTGGCACCCAGCTGTTTTGTCAAGTGTATATTATACACTTGGGCAGGAGAAGCTGATAACAGCTGACAATGTGTAGAAGAGGTTCCTATTCCTAGTTCTGAGCCTCTGTATTGTTGCCTTAACATTTCTTTTCCCCCTTCCTATGCATTGTAAAGCTTAGCACCATGTTTTCATGTTTGTGTCATGCATGAGGTGATTTTTAATGCTTTGCCTCTGAATAGGGCCAATTCATTCCTGTTGCCTGAGAGGTCTTTGGATTACTTCCTCTGGCATCTGTTAGGATATGTTAGTAACGGAACTGGCAAAATTATAAATGCCATGTGTTGGTCTTGGCTAAGCAGATGCCCAGTTTGTAATGTGTTTACTTGGCTTTCACCACAGAGTTTGGGAATTAAATGTGGTTTGTGACTAAGTGCTTTTTGAGTACCTGTGAGATGTTGAGAAATAAAGAAATATACATTAAAGAACGCTATCAAAAGTAGTGGCACATTACCATGTCAGTCTATTTCTCTCTGGCAAAATCTAGATAATTCATGCTTTATTGAAATAGAAATGGATGAGATTTTCACTTATTTGCTGCTCTGCTGAGTTAAGCAACACTTATGCTAACTACAGTAATTTTTCTCCCTTTTTTATTAAACAGATGGTGCCAACTGTTTCAAAAAAGCATTCTTTTAGGATGGTTTTTTTATAACAGATTGCTAAGTTTGAAACAACTTTTAAGGAACTACTGATTTTTCTTTGTGATAACTATGATTTTCCTAAGAATCACTAAAAATTGCCCAACATGTTTTAAAATAACAAAAACAATGTAAAAGTTTTCCTGTGGGTTTTTTCTTTCCATTTAGAAAGACTAATGTTTGGCTAAAGATGAGAATTAGAGTTAGAAAATTAAGCATGGAAGAGCTTGGAGATAGGATGGGTTTGGAATGGGAGGAATGCTTTGACTTGACAGTTGATTTAGATGTGTGATGCAGCATCTGATCCTTTTGTGTTTTCCCTGTTCTGTTTGTTACTCTGTTGTTCAATAAAATTAGGCACAGTGTCGTGGTTTAACCCCAGCAGCAGCCAAGAACCACACAGCCACTCACTCACTGCCCCACCCATGGGATGGGGGAGTAAATCAGAAGGGTAAAAGCTACAAAAACTCATGGGTTGAGATAAAGACAATTTAATAGAGAAAGCAAAAGCTGCACACACAAGCAAAGCAAAACAAGGAATTAAGTCACTGCTTCCCGAAGACAGGAGGTGTTCAGCCATCTCCAGGAGAGCAGGGCCCATCA